GAGTAGATTTTTTTCCAGGCCAACCCAGAGTATTAAGTTGTTTAATTTTCACATGCTTATGTTTACGCCCCCGTTTTAAAATATTTATTTATGTGTTTTGTTTGAAAGGCAGAGTTTCAGAGAGAGAAGGAAAGACTGAGAGAAGACCTTTTCCATCCATTGATTCATTCCCCAAATGGCCACAATGGCTGGAACTGGACTGGTCTGTGAGATGAGCTTTCCCAGGCACATTAACAGCTAGGAATCCAACTGGCATTCATATGGGATTCTGGCACCACAGGTAGAAGCTTAACACACTATGCCTCGTGCTGGCCCCTTACAGCTTTTTTTTTTAATTACTGAGGGAATGCCAACTGAGGGTTAATATGCCAATGGTTACGCCCATCCTGAATACATGCTGCATTTTCCTCTTTCTTTTCCTGTCCATGCTGTACTTTTACTTATGTGCTAGATGTACCGAGTCAGACACAATGGTTCTCACGAGCAGAGACTATCTCCATTTTGCCACAAAAAACCCTCAATATTTCTAAGCCTGTAAAAAATGCCTAGTTGGAAGAAAGCAGAGATGACACCATCAGAGGAGGAGAGATGATGAGGACAAAATGTGTGTTCACTTTTAATTTATCCTCTTGCATCTTCATTAAATTTCTTGTAAATGCTCACTGATAATAACAAGATTACACTTCCCGAATTAGACATACTTTCCTCCTTAATTCTTTTCCAGTGAATTCCAGTTGAAATTCACAATTTTGGGATAACTACAATTGCTCTTATTTTTGGAAGATTAATTTTAGAACAGTATTTTTAGCTTAACAAAATCACCTATCCTAGATACAATTACCTTTTTTTTTTTTTTAAAGATTTATTTTTATTATTTTATTGGAAAGGCGGATATACAGAGAGGAGAGACAGAGAGGAAGGTCTTCCGTCCGATGATTCACTCCCCAAGTGAGCGCAACGGTCGATACTATGCCGAGCCGAAGCCAGGAGCCTCTTCCGGGTCTCCCACGCGGGTGCAGGGTCCCAAAGCCTTGGGCCGTCCTCTGCTGCTTTCCCAGGCCACAGGCAGGGAGCTGGAAGGGAAGCGGGGCTGCCGGGATCAGAACCGGCGCCCATATGGGATCCCGGGCGTGCAAGGCGAGGACCTTTAACCACTTGCGCCACCGCGCCGGGCCCAGATACAATTACCTTTTAAAAAGCTAAAAAAAATTAAGCAAGAGTTTTGAGAAATCATTTTATGAATGTATGAGTTTATAAGTAAATTCTAAGCTCTTGACCTTATAGGCTTTTTTTTTTCTCTTTAGAAAAATCAGCCATAATTTGGAGATGATGACCAGGCATATTAATCACTGAGAAACCCCAACCAACCGTCAATGTGTCTTCAGTAATGATGAAATTTTCAGTGTCTTTACCTTGTGGCTTGGTCAAAGAGGCATATTGAAATGCTGAGCTTGTACCAAATTTCCTATGAAAATGGCAAAAATATTTATCTCTCACAAACCATCTTATCAAGATTCCACAAGATGAACGCTGCATCTTGCCCTGACTCCAAACCTGCTGAATCCATGCTTGAGGTAGTAAATTCAAAGACAAAATGATAGTGGAATGACTAGCAATTTTTTTTAACTTTCAAATGACATCATCGATAATAACTGCTATCAAGATAATGTTTTCTTTAGGTTAAGGTCAAAGGTCTTAAAGAACAGACGTTTCCATCTGGGCTCAGGAGTTCCATCATTTCCTTACTTAGGAGAGCGATACGAAGAGGATCTGTTAGTGTGAACGAGAGGAAATGCAATATTGCTCTCCTTGTACTAAATATGTGGTATATCATGTAGTATATATCACGCTATCATCAGTTCATTGAAATGCTAGATAGCAATCTGTCTGCCATTTGCATACTTTGTTCCTTCCTTATGCATGCAAGAATGCTTGCACACCTGTTACTAATTTGAAAGCATTTTATTCTCTTTATTATCAAGAATAATGCCATCAGCGTAGTTATTCTTAAGTAAAAATGAAACAATGCCAAACAGGAGCCTTGACCTGTTGGATCCTACAGTGTGGATCGGGGAAAGCCAGCCTCTTTATCAATGGAATTAGAAATAGCTTTTGTTATTCCTATACTATGCTGAATTTATGCACATTAGAGTCTTTCTATTGTAGACAATATACTGACAATTTTGAAAAGCCAGTAACACTGCTTATGTCTTTAAGAAATGAACATTTCATGTCTTACAACATTACTTCTGAGGGGGAAAAGAACTATTTGGGATTTTTAAATGTGGATAAAATATGCTGCATCATAGTGTATCAAATCAGAATACCAAATGCCACACCTCATGAATACCATCTCTGGATCCACAGCTTTAACTTCCTTGAGGAATGTGTTTGTCAGTGGGTAACCCACTTGGTACCCAGCAGAGCAAAGCACAGTTGCTGACTGACACCTACGTTTGCCTACATGTGCTAAGTCTGACACAATTCTTATTCGCTTATGCTCTGGAATGCATATATTTGCTCTTTAAATTTTGAATTTCTCTTCTATCATGCTTTGTTTATATTCTGAGTTACGCTCTCAGGATTTTATCTTTAAAGACTTCAGATCTTTGGTACCTTATTATAATTTTCGGAACTGCAACTGCATTTTGACAAAGCTATTAAGTTCTGTGCTTGGAAGGAGAGTCGAAAAGGCAGATTGGATACTTGCACAAGTCTTAAGAAAAGACTTGTTCAGAATGTCTGACCTGTGTTGCCTTGGGGACCGATCTCTTCCTTTTTGGAGCCATGAGTCAGCATAAATGGCAGGTTCATTCCTGTGGTGTGATGACATGATGGAGTGGGACCTGAGCCCAGCCCTGGATTGCAGAGCAATCCCTCTGCAAACACGTACTGCCCTGTACTGTAGGCATCGGCTCGGTGGAGTTTTCTCTGATACTTGGTGATTGTCCTTTTGTTTGACAGTAGAGAATTCAAGGCCATGAAAGTCAAAGCTCAAATTCAAACACTGTATCAAAACTGCTGTCTGTAGTGAATCGAGCTGTGCTATCTAGAAGTAACTGCTTTGGGGATTGCGTCCTGCCCTTTTCCTTCACTCTAGACATGTACTCAGAATGTATATGTGAAGTTTATTGAGTTATGTGCTTATCCCAGCTAATTAGGAGTCCTGTTTTTACTTGTCTTCTAATGGGATTATCTTTTTTTTCTTGCTAAAGGAAACAGCTCAGAAAAAAAAAATCATGGAGGTCTCTTTATTTTTTTCATGTTAAACCATCCCATTTGGATAATGCAATCATGTTCTTCCAATCAGCACAAGGTGAATGCGTGAAACTGTGCGAATCCAAAGTGGAGGCCATGGCAGGAGGATCACAAACCAACAGAAGTAAACATTTCATTTGGGTCCATTAGGATATTTCCAGAAAGAAACTGTAAATGCCAGTTCTATCAAAAGCGGTTAGGACACATAGCAGTTTGTTTTTTAAGCTTAAGAGTAATAAAGAGCACGCAGAATGGGACAAACTTCAGTGATTTTTGCCTTGTAATAACCGCCGTCCTCTCTTTCTTGAAGATTTGGTATTTCTCCAAACACAGTTGTTCCTACACAGTACTCTAACGCGTTGGCCGGCAGGTGGCGACATAGGGCTTCCTTGCGTTGAGCTGTCCCAGGTGCTGAACCCAATTTGTGTAATTAAGACAGCTGGCCACCCGGGATTCCACGAAGTTCTCCGGGCAAGCTTCACTGGCTTAGGGACGAAGTGAAAAAGTCCATATGAAATGCATGAGGTCACTTACAAGAGAAGGCAAAATGTTTCCTGCTCTGAATTTGCTCAAAACTGTCGGAGATGGCAGAATTCTGGTGTTGAGTGTGTGTGTGTGTGTGTGTGTGTGTGTGTGTGTGTGTGTGTGTAGAATAAACTGAACTGTGATCTTTCCCTCACTTTGAAAATTGGTTGTTTACTCGTTCTTGTCTCTTAATAGTACCTTTAAAATTCGTGTCTCCCTTGGTTCCCTTAATTCTCCAAGGTTAAGAGAGAGAGGAGAGAGAGAGAGAGAGAGAGAGAGAGAGAGAGAGAGAGAGAGAGAAGTGATCACCGTTTTCTCTAAAGGAGTCGGGCTGGGCTGTTGGATAATAGAAGGAGGTGGATTTAACAAGCAGAAGACACACTCCGCCTCCTTTGCTTCAACTAATAATCGTTTAGGTCCTAGGGCAGACCAGCTTTCCATTCTTGCGTGGTCCTATCTCCTTTTCTTATGTCTACTCTGTGATACAGATGATAAGAATTTGACAGATATAAGAGGTCATGGGTAGTTAGAAAGCGTGCTTCTCCCCCCGTTCCTCTGCAGTTTGGCTGGATGATGCTGGGGGGCGGGGAGGGCGGAGTTTATTTGTTATAATGCTGGCCTGTGGGCAAGCGCGTGTGTGCAAGCGAATTCAGTCCACAGAAGCGGAGTGGATGCGAGGACGCTGAGCTGGAGCGAGTGAAGGGCGGGGACTCAGAGGGAAGGGACGCTCCGGTTTGGGGAGGTGTTCAGAGTGGAGGGCTAGCGTGGAAGGGAGGGCGATCGGCTGTGGATCGACGCGCAGGGATGAAGAAAGGGAGGTGAGAGGAGGGAGAACGAAAGGGAAGTTACTGGGGAGAAGGGAGGAGAGAGCGAGAGAAGCAAACAGGGAGGGGAACCTCCCCGGAGATGGGGTTCCTCAATTCCAGACACTTCTGGGATTGGAGACTGTTTGCCGGAGGGGAAACTCCGGCTCCGGCAGCCAGTTGGGCAGTGGCAAAGTAAAATGGACAGCCAAAGACGGACGCTCAAGTCACTTCGCTGCCGCTCGCAGAACCCACAGCTGCTCGCCGCCCAACTCCAGCTTCCCCGCGGGAGCCTCCGAGCGCGCCGGACCGCGCCTGAGAGGTGCTGCTCAGAGATGTCTTCGCCAGAGCAGTAAGAACTTCCAGCCGGGAGTCCCTGCCTCCACTTCCACCGAAAACAACCCCCGGGAGAAGGGGCGGAAGACACTCGGGGGAGGGGTGAGGGGGACCCTTGCACAGCTCCGTCTCCCCTCCCCCTCCCCCCGGCGGGAGCACCTGCAGGGATGGAGGTGCTGGACACCGGCCGGGGCAACAACACCACGTCGTCCCAGGATCCGCTCGGGACCGGCAGCAACGCTACTGGCATCTCCGACGTGACCTTCAGCTACCAAGTCATCACGTCCCTGCTGCTGGGCACGCTCATCTTCTGCGCGGTGCTGGGCAACGCGTGTGTGGTGGCTGCCATTGCCCTGGAGCGCTCCCTCCAAAACGTGGCCAACTATCTCATCGGCTCGCTGGCGGTCACCGACCTCATGGTGTCCGTGCTGGTGCTCCCCATGGCCGCGCTGTACCAGGTGCTCAACAAGTGGACTCTGGGCCAGGTCACCTGCGACCTGTTCATCGCCCTTGACGTGCTGTGCTGCACCTCATCCATCCTGCACCTGTGTGCCATCGCGCTGGACAGGTACTGGGCCATCACGGACCCCATCGACTACGTGAACAAGAGAACGCCCCGGCGCGCCGCTGCGCTCATCTCGCTCACTTGGCTCATTGGCTTCCTCATCTCTATCCCGCCCATGCTGGGCTGGCGCACCCCCGAAGACCGCTCCGACCCCGACGCGTGCACTATCAGTAAGGACCAAGGCTACACCATCTATTCCACATTCGGCGCTTTCTATATTCCGCTGCTGCTCATGCTGGTCCTCTACGGGCGCATTTTCCGAGCTGCGCGCTTCCGCATCCGCAAGACAGTCAAGAAAGTGGAGAAGAAGGGGGCCGACACCCGCGGTGCTGCAGCCTCGCCGGCCCCGCCGCCCAGGAGGAGCTTGAACGGAGAGCCAGGGAGCACAGACTGGAGGCGGGGCGTGGAGAGCAAAGCTGCGGGGGCTGTGTGCGCCAATGGCGCTGTGAGGCAGGGTGACGAAGGCGCCGCCCTGGAGGTGATCGAGGTGCACCGAGTGGGCCACTCCAAGGAACACCTGCCGCTTCCCAGCGAGACGGGTACGGCCGCCTGCGCCGCTGCCTCGTTTGAGAGGAAGAATGAGCGCAACGCCGAGGCAAAGCGCAAAATGGCCCTGGCGCGCGAGAGGAAGACGGTGAAGACCCTTGGCATCATCATGGGCACCTTCATCCTCTGCTGGCTGCCCTTCTTCATCGTAGCCCTGGTCCTGCCCTTCTGCGAGAACAGCTGCCACATGCCCGCCCAGCTGGGCGCCATCATCAACTGGCTGGGCTACTCCAACTCCCTGCTTAACCCTGTCATTTATGCCTACTTTAACAAGGACTTTCAAAACGCGTTTAAGAAGATTATCAAGTGCAAGTTCTGTCGCCGATGATGCTGTGAAGGAGTGGCGGGCCAGCCGGGGCTGTGGGGACCCACTGCATTTCGTGGGCCCCCCAGCCCCTGGAACCAGCGTTAAGATAACTTGCTACTTTGTCCTCCGACCTTCTCAGCTGCTGCGCCCCAGGCTTCCGGACCTCATCCCTTCCCACTCCATCTGCCACCTAGGGAGAGGGCGCTTGCTGCAGGTGCACAGAGAAACCTGGGGCTCTGCGCCAAGTGACCTCAGCTGTACCCTCAGCCTCAGTTTTTGATCAATTGGCGCCTCCAAATTTTGATTCCCCATATCTCGGAGGTTGAAGCCCCAAGTAGAAAGTCTTCAAAATAAAAATAAAGCCAACAACCCTCCGGTCCCCCCTCCACTCCCGCAAATTGCCTACAGCCGCTGAGCCCACTAAGTGCTTCCATCTGATGCCCAGCTTCTAGAACTTGCCCTTAAGCTTCAGGACTTGGCTCCATGCTTCCCTGCCTCGTCCTCTAGAAACGTCCGCGCTCTGTGTCGGTTTCACTCCCCTTTCCTGCCCTGACCTCTAGGATGCATGCACTGATTCGCTGGTCCCCAAAGCCGGGAGCGGCTGTCTGCTGTCCGCCGTGCCAGTGGAGTTCCCCGGTCTGAGCCTAAATGTCTAAGACTCCCAGGATCACGCTGTCCTGCTTCATTCCTGCTTGCTTTGTTTTCTTGGACTCAGAACAGGTGTCCTGTTGGTGGGACTTAGCGTGGAACTTGGGAGTTACAATGCCAGGCCGCGGGGAAGAGCAAGAGCCGAGCGTGGCCCATTTTGTCCGAGTTTGCCTTGGTGTCAGCACTCACCAAAGAAACTGACAATCACGCAGCGAGGAAAGCCAACTTGACATCTGTATAGGTTGCAGGAGAGTCTGCACTCGTAGGCATCGCTTCTTAGCTACAGTGGGAGGCGCCCGCCGGCCGCGGGGTGGGCGCGCTGGGGACCGCGAAAGGCCTGGGCTCCGCGCGCTTCCCCCAGTGCTCTGCAGTCCGCCAGGTGCACCCACCGCCGCCGGCTGATCCCGGGCGAGGTTCCCCGCTGACTCCCCGGAAATGGAAGTGCTGGTGGTTAAGGTTTTCGAAGCCGGGAGGCACTGGGTCCAGCAGAGCTTTGGGGGCCCTTGGGAGACCCAGCAGGCTCCCAGGGGGAGGTTTGGATGGGCGAAGAGGAAGAAAGCCCAGGGCGCGCAGCTCTCCTGGTGGAACTTGAAGCAGCAGTTTAATCCGTAGGATGCGGATATTTCCCCATTACATTTACCCCCTTTTCCTTTTCGGATTTGGGGTTTGCACTATTGGGCGCGTCGCAATACTTAAGTGGATTTTTTTTTTTCTTTCATACAGGACGTCCGGGACGTAAAGTTAATAGAACTTTGGTATCTGGGATACCAAGGAATTCTCGGCTTTCAACCGAATGAGCACCGGGAGGGAAACCCCGTGCGTGCCCCCTGAGGCCGTTGCCTCAGAGAGCAGAATCTCTAAGAAGGGGCGGGTGTCCCTGGGGAGTCTCCGAGTTACCCGGCCTTAAGCCAGGTGGGCAGGAAGACTAAGTCTAATTTTTTTTTTTTTTTTTGTCCTTTGAGTTCCTAGAGTGCCCTGAGCTTTCTCGCCTTTTAAAACGAACCCTTTCCGCCCCATCACTCCTGCTAAGAAACGGGTTGCAACCTGAGCTGCCCCCCAGAAAGGGAAGTCCATTTGGTGCTCTGTTCGAATGTAAATTTCCGACCACAAGACAGGGATCCAGAAATTTGTGGGAGTCATATCTAGCTTCTAACTTTCTGATGGATTAGGGTCTCATCCTTACAGTAAGGGATTCTTAATCCCATCTCATTTGTACCTTTTGAGAACCTGTATCTGCATTGTGAGAGCTAGGGTTGGGTTTACAGTGTGCCAACCTGCCTGTGAGAAGTTCACTTGTGTTTGTAATGAAGAAAGGTAAGGGGTGGGACACTACCACTTGAAGCCATTTTATTCTTTTTCAGACTTAGCTAATCCTCCATTTGGTGTCTTTTTCTCTGTCTACACTGGAAGTAGACATCAGACACCACTTAAGTAAAGTTCAAGAACATGGGGGATAGTTCAACTGCGTATATGGAATGTCCTTAAATGGCTGTGGTGGAGACCACAAGTAGCCATGTTCCTTTGGTACAACTATTATTCATTTGAAATTCAATTTTTTTTTTTTACTCACCGTAATTCAGAAAGAGGCATAGGAGAAAGTAAAATTTTGCATATATTTTAGTGAATTTTCAGAACAAATTCTTTTTTTAAAATACTAATCAAATCCTTAAAATTTACTTATTCGCATTATGCCTTGGGCAGCAAGCATTACGCGTGAAGTTCTGAGATTTCTACTTATTTGTGTCTTTTCCTGAACGATATTGCAATGACTTTGGGATGCTCATTCTTTCCCCCTTTGGAGGATTTGCACAAGAATGGGTAAGAAGCATTCAACTGAAGTATAATTACCAAGGCAATAAAGAAATTAGCTAAATAAGTGCAGGACAGATGCTAAGCTCAAAGGGCTCCGAAAAGTATCTGTATTAGGGCACGTGTTCAAGCATCAAAATTGGCCTGTGACAATACGAGACTTTAGGAACAACCATGTAACAATAAAGAGATACCAGCCACACACATCTTCGTTGCATCTGAATCTTGTATGTTTTTTGGGGGGGAACATTTTAAAATGAAAAAGTTAAAAATACAGCTGTTAGCGAAGCTCCGGCTATAAAGGGATCTGACGCTTAGAGAATTCCAGTTTTCAACTCTGAAATTTGCTCTTGGGGAGTGATTTCTTTTTTTTTTTTTTTTTAAATACCATCTTTAGAAAGTAGAAACGACACCTCATGGGTTAGGCAGGAATCTCATAATTTCCCTGACACCTACAGATAAAAAAAAAAATTGAAGTATCTGTCTAATTAATATAGAGAAAGATGATGGCCTTGGGGAACTGCCACAGGGTCCACTCTGCCTTCAAAAAGCTTGACCAGTCGGTGTTGAGATCCTCTGTCTGCTCTACAACATCTAGATGGGTGAAAAGTGTCTTCTGCTTTCAAAAGAAACAGCTTGGGGGCTTGGGATGGGGTCGGGGGTTGCCACTACAAAGAAATGTGGAAGGGCGTTTTTTTCTTCTGCTTGGGTGGGGTTCTGACTATAGAAGGGTGAAGTTCTGAATATCGGAGTTCATGCTATGTTAAAATCCATTTGTGAGTTCTTTACTCCTTGGCTGGCATCAAAAGAAATGCCCCTTGTTTCCAGTGTTGCACTTGTAAATCCTGCAGCTCTGTGGTGTTGGAATGCTGACTCCTGGGCAAACTGAGCTCAGGGGACCCCAAGGACAAACCAAGGTCAGGAGTGATTTGGCTCTCCGGGAGATCACCGAGAGGCTGTCAGAAGAAGCCAGATTCAGACAGTGTATGTGTGAGCATGCGTGATTGCAATGAGGAAATTGAGAGGGAATTGAGAGGACAGAAAACCCCGTGGAACTGCCTGTTTGGAAAACATGACCTAACTGTATCAACTGTATCAGTGACGTTGAGTGAAATGCTGAGTAGGGCACACTTGTCTTTGGGCTTCTGAATACCCCCCATGTTGGTCCTTGTCCCTTCTGGCAGCTCTTCCCCCAGGGAGGCTAAAGATTCCTGCTTTCCTGCGGTGCCACACTGTCACTGCCAGTCATGCAGTCCTCACGCCTTGCCAAGCACTGCTGGATGATGTGGAAACACGGTGCTGAATCAGTGTCAGTGTGCTTACCCGAGAGGTGTCAACCAGTTTGGATCTATAAGAATCACATGTTAAGGTTAAGTAATTGCTAACTGTAGACCTGACCTCTGGATGAGATGGCTCGTGAGCTTTTGATTCTATTATCATCCAGTGAATAATGATCAGGGTGGGCTGAGGTGAGTAGGGAAGGCTGTGTAGACACTCAGTAGCCATCCCTGCATAGGTGAGAGATAAATACGAAAAGAATCAGACATTCATTAAGGGGTGAAGAAAGACAGCCTGGTCTCTTCTGCCTGGCACTGTGGGCATGGCATGGAAAAAAAAAACATGTTTTTTTCTCACCAGCAAGTTGGTGAATACCCTGGGCTGTATAGAGAGGCAATACCTTAGAGAAGGCTGCAGACTCAGTGTCCTCTCTGTTCTCCCCCATTGGGCCGTGTGATAACCTGAATGGTTAGCAACGAGAGAATGGAGGATTCTAAAGACAAAAGGATTGAGGCAAGTAGACCAGAGGAATCGTGTTGAGTAGAGGAAGGGACAGAGCATAAGGAGGAGAGAATTGTTAGTCATAAGAGGTGACAGACAGTGGGGCTTGCTTGTTGGCTTAATTGGCTAATCCTCCACCTCCAGCCGCAGCCATCCCCGGTTCAGGTTGCTCCCCTTCCCATCTAGTTGCCTACTTATGGGCCTTAGAAAGCAGTGGGAAACGGTCCAAAGCTTTGGGACCCTGTGCTCACGTGGGAGACCCTGAAGAAGTTACTGGCTCTTGACTTCAGATTAGCTCAGCTCTGACCATTGCAGTCATTTGGGGGAGTAAACCAGTGGGTGGAAGATCTCTCTGTCTCTCCTTCTCTCTCTGTAAATCTGCCTTTTCAATGAAAATAAATTGCTTTAAAAAAAAAAAAAAGCTACCAAGGGGTGATCATAGATAGGTATAAGACCCACACAATGTTTGGGATCGTTATACACAACAGGGCCACTTAAATTTGAGATGGTAAATTCTTTTAAATGTCCAATTGGACCATTTTAGCCGTAGCGGACGTTTTACATAATGGTGAGTAGGTATAGGAAATGACGGTAAAGATCATCTGTGTTGGTACTTAATGTCGGGTTATAAACCAGAACATGAATGCCTGGTTACCCTAGCATTTAAGATGCTTCCATCCCAGGTCAGAGTACCTGGGGGTGCTGCTCAGCTCTAGTTCCTGGCTCCAGCTTCCTGCTAATGCAGATCCTGGGAGGCAACAGGGATGCTTCAAGTGTTGATCTCTTGCATCCTTATGGAGGAC